TTTTTTTTTTTTTTTTTTTTTTTTTTTTGTTTTTTTTATCTGCTCAGTTACGGAATGTTATTGAGGGATTATTATGTACTGAAGACTAGAACGCATGAGAAGTCTAGTAAACAAAAAAGTATTGAAGTCGGTTGAGTTTGAGCTGAAATATAATTCTCCAAAACGGACATTCCAAACAGCAACCAGGCAAATTTTGTGCAATTTTTATGAGGAAGAGGGGGCATAACTTAACAAAAGACCCATTTTGCTAGTCATCTTTTCGGTCTCTTTAAATCCAGGCCCAGTCGGTAATAAGCGGCAAAATTTTGAAAAATCCTAAGGTACCAAGTGAAAACAGTGTGAGATTTGACATGGAATTGCTCTACATTTTTGACAGCATTTCTGCTTAAAAATGCGCCGTAAACCAGATTTGATATAAACGTCTGTACAAATTAACAGATGCTAGGGGAGTTTAAAAGTTCAATTTTAAGGAAATGTTCCCGCTCACAAATATATAACTGGAAAAGTTCGATTTGTGCCAGAACTACCAACAACGTCAGGTAGTAAGATAGGAGGCCAAGTCTTAGAAGAGCTGGCGAAAAACAGTTTGCTTATCTAAAACTTTATTCTTTCGTCTGCAGGAGTTCAAAAATAATTTTTTTAACTCTTCAACTCACTGAAGTTCTGGCTTTTGGGAAACTACATAATAAATGATTGCTCTCTTCCAGTGTTCCATCGTACCATTACTTTATTCTTAAATAAATTTTTTCTTCCCCATTCAAATACCTAATTGTGTCTGCCGATAGCTAATCGGCTTTTTTACGTTTCTCTTCGTCTACTTTTTCCCTCTGGTAAGTAACAACTTTTGCTAATACCCAGTTTTACCAATAAGTATCAATGAGCAAGTGTAATTGAAACAACGTAACAGCGAGCTTGGAGAATGTGAAGAATCCCAAATTTGATTCAATGAAAATCTTCGGAAGTACTGTCCAATGATAACATCGTAATTAACATGATTTTCTGATGTTTCAGCAGATGAAGAGACTCTTCTTTGAAAGCTTTTTTGCTGAAGAACATAGGCTGAACTAAGGAAGCAAACCAATACGATAACATTTTCCATACTGAATAATTGCTATACAACGGATTCTTGATTATAACTGGAACAAGTGAAAATACAGCATTCCTGCGATTTTAATTAATCGTTGTCGCGTAGGTTACGACTGTCATTTGAAATCGTTATGTAACATTCCACGCTCTTTACCTACCGTTATTTTATCAGTGCCACAATTACAGATGATATTTCATGACATATAGCATCTTTTCTGAAGCAAAAAAGAATGATATTGAAACAAAGAATGATATTGCCAAGCATGAGAGTGAAATTTTTGCTTTTTTTCTTGTCTCTTCTTCGTTCTCATTGCTTACTTATAGAACCAAAAAATAAATAAATAAATGAAATACAATAAAATAAATAAACTAAAATAAACTTTGTTACAAAAGGAAATAGCGCAGAACGTTTTTTTTCTTGCCGCCCACTGGACATTCGCCCATGATTTTGTATTATATGATTGAAAGTAAATAGAAAATAAATTTTCCATATTATGTGATGTAATTTATTTTTATTATTGCGATCAAATGAAGTGCTTTACTAAACGTCTATCAATCATCAAACAAAAAGAAAAGTAATATCAGAATTAATGATAAACAATTTATAA